GGGAATGGTCGAGGCTTTCTTGCCTGCAGTCTGGAGGGTGCCTGGCAGCAGCTTTGCTATTTTAGATGCCACCCCTACCCCACGTGGGGCTGTCCTGACAGTGTCCACAGCGCTGGCAGTCATGCTCAGCCTACCTGTGGCACGTGTATGAGACCCCAGATACCTCCTGCATGTGTGATTGGTTTGCATTGACTGTGCAGCTGTCAAGTCCTGGGCCCCTGAGGTGGCCGATGGTCTCCTCAGCCCACTCCAAGTGAGTCTCTCGTCTTCATCCAGAGTTCCCTAGTCACGTAACAACCTCCGTCCATCCTGAGCCCCAGCGCACTCAATTCTGTGTGGCTCTTACGAGGAAGGCTGGAGGAGAGGGCAACCTCAACCTTGCCCTGCTAGCTGGAAAAGAGCAATCCTGACCCAGAGTGGGCTACGAGAAGTGAGCAGTGGAAACTTCAGGGGCCCGGAGCAGCCTTGGAGGTACCTGGAGGAGCTAAGGCTGTAGCTGGGCCTTGAGAACAAGGCATGAATTAGTGTGATCTTGGGCTGGGCCCAGGGACAGAGGCTGAATGCAGTGTGGCAGGGCTGTATCTCAGGAGCTCTCCAATGTCACTCGCAGGCCTTGGTGGGGAGTGGGGAGTGGTGTCGTTCTGCTGTCCGCAGTGCTGAAAGTTCCTGTCCTGCACAGCGATCTCACTGCTTCAGTAAATATTGCTTCTGGCCCTTCTCACCTCTCTGCCAGCACCTCCTTGTCATTTTCTTTCCAGATATCCAGTGACCACACTGCGGCCCTAAAACCAGTCCCATCCACTCCCCGTGCCCAGCCTGTCTGTTGCACCCACTCCTCCATAGCTCCCACCAAAAATGGTCCCTGTAGTCCCTGTCCCCAATGTCTTGTCAGTTAGCCTATCAGGGATAGAAATGCCAATCTACAGAGCACTTGAAAGTGACATAGGGATGTTTGGAGTTGCAATAATGGCTCAAGAGTATTACTGGCATTTAGTGGACTGAAAAGTCCCACACAATAGACACTTGACCCACAATAGCCAGTAGCATCTTGGAAAAATGATGTGCACTACTTTTACTGAGAGGAGAAACTGAGGCCAAGAGGGAAGGGACATAGCTAAGGTCACTTAGCCAACCAGCCAGAGACAAAACTACAGCTAGCATCTAAGCCCCCATCTTCTACCAGCCCGGCTTCTGAACCACTTAGGTGACTGTCTGAACCAGGAACTCTTATCAAAAAGGAGTCGGCATCTGAAAGAGGGAAAGGCCATTATAAGTGGGAGCTTTTGACAGACCAGGGCCACGTTGGGGGCAGAGATCTGGCACACTGCTGGGAATAGGGACCAGGATTCCCAGGCCACAGAGCACTGGAAGAGAGGATCTTGTTTGCATCATCCAGACCCTAATGCCCCCGGCAGGCTGTGCCGCACACCATCAGCATTGATCTTCGGCAGGGGCACTTGTGTTGCTGTGGTAACAGGCACCCACCTCACTGCCCCCATCCCTGTGATTCTTGTCTGGCCACCTGCCCCCAGACTTTCCGCACCCATTCTCCCATAATTCCCAGGCATGGGGGACGGGAGACTCCTGTTTTACTCTCTCCTGACCAAAGCTGTGCTTGAGGGCACAGTGTCCTCATTAGCCAGCTCCCCTGGAGAACGGGGCACATCTGTCTTCCAGTCCTCTGGTACCTGGTGTCTGTAGCCAGGACCTCATCTCCGGGCACAACTGGGCCCCCAGAGGGAAGCCCCTTTCCACCACCACATCCCACATCTTAGACCTGCTTTTCAAGGTTTGGGCACATCTGAGTTGGTTGGATGCAGCCCATATCTATTTGATGGCTAGTTCCTGACGGGGATCCAAAGGCTCCCATTTGGTCTCTGCCTACCCACCCCAGGGAGCTTAATGTCAGTAGCAAAGGAAAAGAAAAAATAAAAAGAATCAGGTCCAAAAAGATGAAGTCCATAGTGAATTATGGCAAACGGTCTAAAATAGCATTTTGGTTTTCAAACTCTGGGTTATAGCACAATAGTGGATTATGAGGCCAATTTAGTGAGTCACAACCAGCACTTGTACATAAAATAAATAGAATTCATTAGAATAGGAAGAAAAATATTATAGCTGTGGCAAGATAAATTTTGCTTTGTGAAACTGGACTCACCAGTGTAGGGGGGTGGGGTGAGTACCGGATTTTGACATGAAATAGATGTATTGCTGTGGTTCAAGCACAGCAGAATGTGAAGGCCTATGTTTCAAGAGATGGCGAGACCTAGAGAAGGCATTTACAGGGAAAAAAGAAGTGATTCCTTAAATGCCTAGGAGGTTGGGGAAACCTTCATGAGGGGATGGCATTTGAGCTGGGGTTTCAAAAATAGGTCAGTGAGCCATGGGTGAGAACAAGGAGGCTGTTTCAAGGGGTGGCCCAGCATAGGCTGCATGCCAGGCCTGGGAGGGCAAGTAACAAGTGCCTGAGGAGTGGTGGTGGGAGGCGGGTGGATTCCAGAGAAAGAAAACCAAGAGACAGAATTCATAAAACTTGGTACCCCAGGGGACATTGACGTAAAGGACTAGAACGGTCTGAGATTTGCAGCATTTCTATCCTGACACCCTCCCACCCCCAAGCCCACCCCGCAGTCAGTGCCATCATGAGATATCAGACTTGGGAAAGTATTCTGAGTTCCCGTCTTTGGTAAACCCCACACTGATCAGCAAAACCAGACTCACACCCCTGAACAGCTCAGGCCAAGTAATGAGCCAGGGATGAAGCATGAGGCTCAGGCGCTGAGGACTCTGGGGTGAGGTGGGAGGGGGCTCAGGAGAGAGAAATCTGTGAGGTGGGAACAATCAAAGAGGCCTTCTTGGAAGAAGGAGCTTAGCACTGACCTTCAGGAAAGCTGGATAACATCTACGAACACATCCCTGGAAGATAAATGTTCTGTGCTTTGAACCAGAGCTGGTTCACCTCAGACAGGCCTATTGAGAGAGACCGTAAAGGGACTATTCATTTTACAAAAGGATCTGCCCTCCCAGGATGCCTTTACGTGGGTCCTTTTGACTCACTGCACACTCTGTCCTTTAGTTCAGTAACTTCACTAACCCTGTGCCTCAAATTCTCTTAACACACAACCTTCCCATGATAAAAAAAAAAAAAAAAAACCCTGAGGAATGAGGACACCCAAGCGTGTCAAGAGTGGGCGTGGGTGCCCTGGTGAGGGGCGAGGAACTGGTGTCCGCACGTTGGGGTCAGAACCGCCTGGACCCCCACCAGGGCCAGGGCCCTGCCTGAGGCAGCCTCGAGCTGACAGTCCCGGGAGGCAGGAACAGGCCAGTGCAACCCTAAATTTGAAAAATCCGAGAGCTCAGAGCACCAAATTAAAAAACAATTAAGCTAATAGAATCTCCTCCATTGTTTCTGCTCTTTAGCAAGTGCTCCCTCAATAATTCCATTGTTTTTAACTCACTGTCAGCTCAACAGAAGCGGGTTTTTAAAGTAACTTAATTATTTCAGAACTCACTGCTTCCAAAAACAATCTAAGTTTCCCCCTCCAACTCTGTGACTCTGCCCTGTGAGCTGTTTATTTTAATTAGCTTTACGTTATACATCTAACGCCAACCCCAAAGAAATATTCGCAAACAACTGCCCATTAGCCAGAGAGCAGAAAACCCCAGTGCACATCACCCCCAAACAACGGATCATTCAGAATTCAGGGGAGATCAGGTACACACTAGTGATGCAAAGCAAAGGCTGGCAAAGGGCTTTGGAGTTCTCAGGTGCGACGCTTCCTCCTGGGTGGGGGTTGAGGGTGGGCTACCTGGAGGGGGTGGCTTTGGAGCTAGAACTGACAATTAAGCTAGCATTTCAAGAAAGGTAAGTCTAAGCATTCCAGGGCCTGCCTACATCACTCATACACACCAGACATCGGTGCCCTGAAAGGTCTTTTCACATATCACGTTCCAGTGTCAACGGGGATCCCGGTTGTCAGACACTGAGAGATCTCACGTGGTAGGTGGCCTCCCAGGCGGTGGCAGCTCAAGTCTGGCAGCACTTGGAAAGTCCTCTTTCCCCAGATGGCCCTCATTCCTCTGTACCCTTGCTCAGTAACCTAGGGGTTGAGAACAGGTAACCTGAAGCTAGACTTTCTGGATTTGAAGCCTGGATCTACCTCTTCTCATTTTTATATCCTTGACAAGTGGGTTAATCTCTTTGTGCCTCAGTTTCCTCCTCTGTAAAATGGGTTAATATTAATCATGGGGTTGCTGGGAGGATTGACTGGACCAGTGTACCTAAAGCCGTTAAAAGAGGTTCTGGTCTGTGGTAAACACCTAGGTGAAGCGTAGCTATTATTCATTCATTCATTGATTCATTTCAGAGAGAGAGAGAGAAGAGAGCACAAGCCGGGGATGGGGGAGGGAGAGAGAGAGAGAGAGAGAGAGAGAGAAAGAGAGAGAGAGAGACTTCTAAGCAGGCTCCACACTGTCAGCGCAGAAACCAATGTGGGGCTCAATCTCATGAACCGTGAGATCATAATCCTGAGCCAAAATCAAGAGTCAGACATGTAACAGACTGAGTCTCCCAGGCGCCCCGAGTGGTAGCTGTTACTAAAACAGAAGTTCTGGCACTGGTGAGGAAGGTACAGCTCTCCTAAGTATAAAATGAGAGAAGAACGGAAATGATGTGGTGTGCTGAAAGCAGCAAATCTTCAGCCACAACCCAGGGCTCACAGTCAGGTTCAGTTCCGAATATAATTAAAGAAGGTATACAAAGTGCTCGGCAAAGATTGTGTCAACAATGGGTTTTATCGTGCCTTTTCGCTGCCATGTGTGGGAAGCCTTTTGCACAATCTTCATGTAAATGACTTTCACGTGAACTTTTAGACAGGTGTTGTGTTGCCTGGCTCAGAGAGGCTGAGAAGTATGAACCTTATCCTGTGGGCCCCAGGGAGCCAGGGAGTGTTCTTGAGGAGAGGAGGGACCTACCTCTTGATGGTTGGCATCTCTTATAGGGAACGCCTACAGAGAGTGCTTGGAGAATGGGACGTGGGCTTCCCGGATCAACTACTCACAGTGTGAGCCCATTTTGGACGATAAGGTGAGTGGCTCCCACCAGCCCCAGCCCTGGTCCTTGTGCAATCCGGCCACACCTTTTTGCACTTGTTTCCCTCCCCTGCTCAGTGACACTGCAGTAGAGAAGGGGGACAGGGCCCCCCACCTTTGGGAGAGCTCCGGTGAGCAGAAGACACAACCAAGATGGCATGTGACACAAGAAGGGAATGACGGTGTGACCAGTGTCCCAACATCTAACAAGCTGTGTCACTTCTTCCCTCCACTGGGCCTCAGTTTCCCCATTTGTCATTCTTTTAAAAAAAGTTTTTTTGATGTTTATTTTTAAGAGAGAGAGAGGGAAGGAGGGGCAGAGAGAGAGGGAGACACAGAATCTGAAGCAGGGTCCAGACTCTGAGCTAGCTGTCAGCACAGAGCCCGACACGGGGCTTGAAACCACGAACTGTGAGATCATGACCTGAGCCGAAGTCGGGCGCTTAACCGACTGAGCCACCCAGGCGCCACAACCCCCATCCGGCATTCTGATTCTGCGGCTGCACAGGGAAACAAGCACAATTCCCAGAAGGGTGGGCCCCATAAGAAGTCAGGTCCTGTTCAGACCTCACCAGCCCCCTTGCCCTGGAACCTGACCCCAGGCCCCTGGCAGTGCCAGCCTCCTCCCCTTTGAAGATATGCCTCATTCCTGACCCAACATGATACGTGCCCCCTTCATCCCCTCTTCCTTCACCCATTACAGCTCTCAGGGAGGCTGGAACTTTCCCCACAAAGAAGTTCAGGTTCAGAGGGAAAACGTTTATCTACCCTGAGAAAGTGACTCTACAATATGTGGGCCAAAGGGGGTCTGCAGTGGGGTCACAGCAATGGCTAGTGGGACAGGTCATCAAGGAAAGAAGGGGGCTCCTTCCTGCCAGACCTCTGTCCTCCCCTCCCCACCTCACAGCCCCTCTGAGCAGCGGCAGACCACAGTGGGGGCGGGCGGGGGACAGCCTGCCCTGGCCAGAAGGAGTGTTTTATCGCTGCTTCTGTTTAGAACTGCCAGCACATGGGCATCATTAAAAGGAGACCGGCTTTTCCTCGGTTTTAATATTGTTCCTAACTTCCCTACGGACATCGCACCCCCTCACTGCTACATCCAGGACAGACTGATCCCAAGGCTTCCTCCAGACTTCCCAGAGCGTGCTGCTTCTGGGGCAGGAGGGCAGGTTGGCTCCTCTGTACAGATGTGAAAACTGAGGCCCAGAGATAGAAATCGACTCACAGCTGCTCAGCCAGTGAGGGTCTGAGCTGGATTAAACACAGGTGTGGCAATTCCCAGTCCAGAATTAAAGAGACAATAAAATCCAGAGAGCCACACTTTGGGCATATCTCAGAATACGCTGTGTCCAACCCTGCCGCCAAACTGCATGTCAGGAGGCCTGATTACAGGAGCCACTCATGGCCACTCATGGCCAACAGGAGCCAGGTGTGGTGGTGACCCTTGAAGCCACTTCTGCCTCCCGGGGCAGGACACACAGGGTGGCCGTAGCTAGAGTGCCCAGCCAAACCCTCATGTGCCCCGTGCCTCCGTCCTCCTGTGTATGTGTCTGTCTGTCCAGCAGAGGAAGTACGACATGCACTACCACGTCGCCCTTGTCGTCAACTACCTGGGTCACTGCGTTTCTGTGGCAGCCCTCGTGGCCGCTTTCCTGCTTTTCCTGGCCCTGCGGTGAGTCCACTTCTGCCCACTGCTGCTTTTCCGTGCCCCTCCCCCCACAGCAGCCCTTCCCCCCCTCCCAGACATTCTCGCCTCCGCTCTGAGGGCCCTGAGGCCAGTGGACAGAGAGGTTGGGGGGAGGTGCCAAGCCACCAACCTGTCACAGGCTTACAGGATGCAAAGGGGGAACTGAGAGACCCAGCCAGGGCCACCACAGGCAGGAACGTGGCCGCTGGTGCAGACCTGCCTTCACCCCAGGCCGAATCTCTCTCTACCTGGCCACGGGAGCCACCATCCCCGCTGATCCCTGACCCCAGGCAGAGCCCATCTCCGCTAACTCCTGCTCCCGGCCGACCCCCGACCTGGGCCTCCCACAGGAGTATCCGCTGCCTGCGGAACGTGATTCACTGGAATCTCATCACCACCTTCATCCTGCGAAATGTCATGTGGTTCCTGCTGCAGCTCATCGACCACCAAGTGCATGAGAGCAATGAGGTCACTGGGCTTGGGGCTGGGGGGCTCCGGGCTCTGGCGGCACCCTCTCTTGCCCAGTCCTCGGGTGGAGGCCTGGCTTGAGCTCACCTCAACCCCAGTCATTATCCCTCCAGGGCTGGGGCCAGAGGCAGGGCTGGATAAGGGTGGGGGCAGGGGGGCACTGCCAGGCAGCACTAAGCTCACACGAGACTGGCTTATCCTGTCCCACTCCCTGTCTTCTGAATTCAGGCCCTCCAAGAGACCCCTTAGAGAAGAAGAGGCTGGAATTGCACTCTGTTGACCTTTATCTCACTTAATTCCGATGAGATACCTGTAGGGATTATTCCCCCATTATACAGACATGGAAACTGAGGCTCGGGGAGGTTACATGGCTCTGTAATGATGCCTCTACATCTAAGCCAGCAGGATCTCGACCCAGCCATCCCATGTGTTTGCTACCCACCCCTGGAAGTGTGTTGACTGCTGCTGTACTGTGTCCAGGTCACCAAGACCAATGAAGCCAAGCAGAGTTCTGTGGCACACCGTTAGAGAGCCTCAACACCTGTTCTTTGGATGGCAGGCCTGCGCAGACGTGCAGCCTGGTTTGACCCTTAACTGGGCCCCATATTAAGCCCTGCCTCGGTGCTAACTGAATTCAACCCCATTTTGGGTCTCCTGCAGCCCAATATTAGTTTGAGCTCATAAACTGTTGCTTAACTTGGAGAAAAAGCAGGGTTCACGGCGGTGGGGTGGGAGGGAGAGCCGCGGAGGCGGAGACTAGTGCAGCACAGGGCCATCTGACAGCCAGTGCTGTCGGAGCCAGACAGAGAGGGAGGGTCAGAGAACTGCCACCACGGAGCTCCTCTGACCACCAGTTCCCGGATCTCGGCCTTGGCTCTGAGGGTGCCCGGGGGATGAAGCCTGGGGAAACATGGCCAGGGAGGACTTGTTGAGTAGAGCTCTGGCCTGGAGGCCTGAGACCTGGCCTTGGCTCGCTGTGGCCCCGGACAGGCTTTTTCTCTGCCTGCATACCCATTTCCTGTCTGCAGGGTATTAGGAAAGGTAGCCCTGTTCAAAGGGACAAGGACAAATTCCCCTCTGCCAGGAAGGCGAATAACAACAACCCTCATTCCTTGGTGCCTGCCTTAGTGACCCTCATCTCCTTCAACTGCCCTGTGACAGAGCAGTATTATTTTCTCCGGGTCCCACTGAGGCTCAGAGAGATGTGGTGACTCGCCCGGCTTGGTGAATTTCCCTCTGTAGCCACCATGATCATACCAAGCCCAGAATGTTCCCAAACCAGAGATTTTGGGGAACCTCTCCATAGTGGCAGCTCACTTTCATAACCCCTGTACTATTATTTATATGACGACTTTCTTTTTATGGACTCCCTCCTTTTTTCCTACATGCAGTTTCATATTGGGATGGCAACCAGCCTGACTTGCTGTAGATTGAAGGTGACTCTCAGGAAAATGACCACAAAAACACAACAGTGTTGTTCGGTCCTAGGCCCTGCCTGCAGAAAGCTCAGAGCCGGGCTCCCCTTTCTCTGTGAACAAGGGAGATTATAAAGCACTGGGGAGAAGCCAAAGAAGGAACCAGTGGAGGCTGGCGCCTTAACGGGTTCTGAAACCATGAAAGAGAAATGGTGGAGGCTGACGCTTCCCAGAGTGAGATTGGAGGGTATTTAACACCATGTCCACTAGATGACTCGGATGTCCTGACTTTGGTGGGCGCTGGGGTCGCGTACTTGGGCCCCGGCCCCGGGCGGCCCCTGACCACCGCCTGCCCCATGCAGGTCTGGTGCCGCTGCATTACCACCATCTTCAACTACTTCGTGGTGACCAACTTCTTCTGGATGTTCGCAGAGGGCTGCTACCTACACACGGCCATTGTCATGACCTACTCCACCGAGCGCCTGCGCAAGTGGCTCTTCCTCTTCATCGGATGGTGTGAGGTTCCCTGGGGGACGGGGGCCCTGCAGGGCCTAGTGGGGAGGGGGCACTGTTGACGAGGTCACTTCCCTTCATCTTGGGTCCAAGGACAGGTCCACAGCACTGCCTGATGCAGCCACTCCCTTCCATCGCTGGTGAGGAAGGAGCAAATTGTCCTTCCAAAAGAACAGTGTATGAATAGCCCTCCTCTGCCTGGAAAGACCAATCCAAGGATCTATGTCTCTCTCCTGGGAGAAGCCAGCCAGTCCACTTCTCTGTCCGACCGTCTCAGAAAATCATGCTGTCCCCTCATCTGTCTGACCTGTTTAGAGGGGGGTGCTGAGAGAGGGAAGGGTGGGGTCAGCGTCTAGGTCAGGCCCCTCTTGGGGCCAAGGATGACCATGCACTTGGTGATTGGTTCTAGGCCCTTTGTGGTCCCTTCACCCTGTGTTCTACAGGAGGGTCCTTGTCCATCTGTCTGTCTGCTGGAGCCTGTGTGTGTCCTTCTTTCAGGCATCCCCTGCCCCATCATCGTCGCCTGGGCCATTGGCAAACTCTACTACGAAAATGAACAGTAAGTAGGGCCAGCCGGCCGCGGGGGTCAGAGGGGTGTTAGGAAAGGTCAGCCAAGGGCTCCAGCCCAGCCATGGGGCAGGAGCTGAAGTCCTTCCCGGACAGATTTACTTCCCATTGTCCTTAAATTGGAAAAAAAAAAAAAGCCCTGGCACCTAGGGGTACTCATGTGGTAGGTATCAGATCAACTTTGTTGATTTGAGTTGGGAATTGTGGCTCCTTTACTATGCCCTAACACATGGTCTCCTTTGACCTTTGGTAAGGCCTCCCCCTCGGAGTGGCAGGTCTGGCGAAGACAGGAGGCTTTCAGCCTAGAGCACATCCAAGGCTGTGTCACTGAGCCTCTTTCACTGAGCCCTGGTGCTTGTTTTCTTCAGGCATCCCAGTCTCTACCTAGGGTACCTTGTCCCATCTTGGGACCCTCCCTGCGCCAGAGAGGTTGATATATAAGCCACACCCAGGTGATGGCAGTTCTGGCCATGGGTCAACCAAGGAGTGGCTGGGAAGTTGGGTGCCTCCAGCTGAAAATAGAGGGGCCAGGGGAATGCCAGCCTCTGGATACAAATCTCTAAGGAGTCTCTGAGGCTGGAGAGGGATTTGGGAGCAGGGGCAGAGTTGGGGTGGGCTCCAAGAGCTCAATGTTGGGAAGAGCTCCTAATGATAAAAACTACCCAAGAATAAGAAGGCTGCCTTGTAGGGTAGTGAGGTTCCCGTCAAAGGGGGTGTTCAAGCAAAGACCCGAAACCTCAGAGCTGGGAGGTACCAGGGGAGATTCCTATCTAAGACAGTGTGCACTGGATGACCTCTAAGCTTTCAGAGGACACAGCCGGAGTTTCCCCAAGTCCATGTGGACCTTTCTGAAGTGCAACCGGAGTTGTTGACTGAGCCGGACTGTGCTCTGGTCCCACTCTTCCCCTGAACATAAGCTTCTCCACTCGCCAGTATCCCCAAAGAATAACCGAGCCTCTGGGAACAGCTGGCTCCTTTCACTGGGTGAATGAGGCTCAGCTCAGAGAAAGGCCGGGGTTCAGGCCCGGAGACAGCTCCCGCCTCTACATCTGCTGCTTTGTGTGGTTGAGCACCTGGCACATGGAGCGGCCGGTTCCGAGCGATGCAGAAACAGGTAGTACAGGGTGGCTGGGCCCTGGGCCAGCAAGGGAGGGACTGACTCTCCTACCACTCATGAGCCTCCTGCATGGCCAGCCCTGGGCCAGCAGTCTGGAATGGGGAGGCGGGATGAGGAAGAGGAGGAGGAGACCCAGGTCTCCAGCTGGGGAGACCAGGCGCTCCATGGAAGGTGAAGCCCAAGGGCGAGCCAAGAAGGGCCCAAGCTTTTGGGGAAGCACAGACTAGAGACTGGATCCCAGGAAGGGTCAAGCCGGAGAACCCTGGGCCGGGTCTGCTGTGGTGCCTGGACACGGCACAGCAGGCCACTTACAGCCACCCCGTCTTTGCAGGTGCTGGTTTGGCAAAGAGCCTGGTGACCTGGTGGACTATATCTACCAGGGCCCCATCATTCTCGTGCTCCTGGTAGGTCCTCATGGGGACTGGAGTGGGGTGGGCATCAGGAGGGCAGCAGAGGACCTACCCGGCAGAGATGTTGGGGAAGCATGTGGCCCCCTGCACATACTCTGTACACACCACCCCTTCCCGGCCGCCCCCCACTCTCCCTCTCCACGATCCATGCCCTGGTGCGTCCCCCTCACCTCTGGCCCTTGGGTGCTTTTTCTGGGCAGAGAATGGTTCTGACTGGTAGTTTTCTAGTGCCTCCCACATCTGATGTCCCCTTGCCAGGTACTGAGACAGCCAGGCGAGGGGAAAGCCGGTGGCAAGAGAAGGGCGTATAGACTTCTGTTCAGCTCCGACCGACATCCCCCTCTGCCCCCTGCACCCCCCCTCCAGGGCCCAGCCCACCACCCCCAGCCTGGAGCAGCGGTACCAGAATGGAGCGTAATGAGCAATTGTTCCTTGTCCGGCTCCCCGCCCTTTGCCAAGTGTATTCGCATCTAAGGTATAATTGCCGCCACGTCTTTAATCCATAACGAGCGTTAATTAAGGTAGAGTTTAAGTAGAGGCTGCATTCTGCAAAAACGAACCCATTATATATCATACATTTAAAAAAAAGAGACATGCAAAAAAGCCCCATAAGAAATTGGCATTTACGTAAGACATTTCAGGCTTGGTAATTTCAGGCTCCCGAATGCACCAGCTTCCTTAAAGGGCCACCCGCTCCTTGTGGGTACGATCGCCATCCTCCTCCTGTACACAGCAGGTGCCTAATGGGGGTTCTTTGGTCTACCTTGGAGACAATTACTGTTTGCCTCTTTCACTTCCTGACTCTCCTCCTTTTTTGTGACTTCTTCTGGGATGCGTGTGACCCCCATCTCTGGAGTGTCCTTGATGTATATGAACTGGAGATGACTAGGAAGGTTTCTACCCGCTGCCTGAAATTCCACCATCAGAAATTCCACTTCGTTTCAAAGGCAGAAGTAGTGATTGTCCTTGGAGTCCCAGCTGCAATGAGTCACTCATCCCCACCCCGTGTGAATGGAAACCCCTTGAGACCCATCCCCTCCCAGCCAGCTGCTGTGAGCCCTTCGTGGAGGGATAGGGCTTTTCGTGAATCCGGGACCCTGCCAAGGAAGTCTGGCCTGGGTGGGGAATCCGCAGGAGTGGGGAGGGAGCCCTGGCCGCGAGGCCGTTGGGCAGTAGTAAGGAAATGCAGGGGAGACAGGTACGGGAGGGCTCCATGTCAGCCGCCACTCCCCGCCTGCCCTTCCATGCCTCTTTCTCTGCGTCCACCCTCACCGCTTGGCCCAAGAGCCCTTTGCTTCTCTTTGGGGCCCAGCCCACGTCCAGCTATTACACGTACAGGGTTTCCAGGTTCCAGCTGGAACTGAGCTAATGAAGACAGGGCTTCATTACTTCCAAATCTCGTATCGTCAATGCCTGGACATGGGAATGATGATCCCCATTTTACAGATGAAGAAACTGAGATGGGACTGCCAGCTGAGCTGAGACTCGGGGCCGGTCACCCACTGCTTGCCTGTCCTGTCCATGAGATACATGCTCAGTACTCTGTCACCCTGCCCTCCCCCAGGGGTTCACAGCTGCACTTCTGCTGCCGGAAGGCATGAACAGACTTATTGCCAGGTTCCGGGAAGTGAATGGGCTGGTTCAGTTTGTAGGAGGCTGTTGTCCCTGTGTTGTCATGGGAAAGGCATGCGGCACTTCTTGGGCTCCACTCTGGACCAGGCTCAGGGCTCAGTGCTCTCCATGAGTATTTTCACCTGTGCCAGCCTTCTCAGACAGGCTCTGTGGTAGCCCTTTTGGACCGGTGAGGAAGCAGAAGCTGGGGAGGCTAACTGAGCAGCTTGCCCAAGGCCGCACGAATGCCAGTCGAATAGCCAGAATTAGAGCCATGCGGCAAGAATGTGTGTGGGGCGTTCCAGGGAGAGGTGGTCCAAGGAAGTACAGCGGGGGAGGGGGGGAGTGGGAGACAAGGGTGAGGTGATGAGCTGGCTTCGAAGGATGCAGCCACGCAGAAGAGTCTCAGGATTGCCCGCCGTGGACGGTTTGGAAGCTAGGTTATGAATCCACACGCTTCATGCCTCATCAGTGGAGGTTGCTCTGGGGACATGAGACCCCCATATTTCCAGGTCCCCCCGCTTTGAGGCTGAGCTAACTCCCCTGGCACCAGAGGAAGCCCAAGGCTGAGAAACGTCCCTTGCAGCTGCTGGTGAACACAGGGCCCCGGGCCCCCGCACCTATAGGGTGCGGCACCTTGGGTCTGTCTGACTAAAGTCTCCTCGCTTGATGCCGCCCCCAGCAATGACCTAGCAAATATAAATTGTAGACCCCTCGCCTACCACTGGGAATGTCTGGGGTGAGGGGGGCCCAGATCTGCATTTGGACCAAGGGCCCCAGTTACCTCCGATGTGTACACTCTAGTTGGAGAACCGCAGTACCTGGGGCCCTGCCTGGCAGGGATGTGCGATGCCTGGTTCTCTGTGGCCCAGCTAGGGCCCCGCACGCGATGGGCTCAGGACGCAGGCCTTTGAGGCTTCACCTGCCTAGAAAATGCCAACAGGAGGGGAAAACAGGCATCCAGTGAGGACCAGGTCTCCAGACCTGGTCTCCAGGTTTCTGAAGGCATCCCCAATGCCATCTGGACAGGTCACTGGGCTCCACAGATGCACGGGGCTGGGACAGGCCGGCCGTGTGTAACTGCCCCGGCACATGTGCAGTACAAGAGGCTGAGAGCTAGGGAGCGGTGAGAGAGGGACCTGGGACGTCCTCGCAGCGCCCCGGTAAACCTGCCCAATACCCAGAACTGGAGGGAGCAGAGGACATCCATCCCCGAGGCCGGGAACCATGTCCGAAGCCCAGGAGGCAGTAATGGCATCCCCTTCCCCCTCCCCTCCTTGCCTGCCTCTGCACGAGTGCCGGTGTGGTTGGAGCAGGAGGGTCTCCCATGAGCACCAGGACTTAGCAAGTACCCTCCCCCTCGCAGGGGTGGAGAGGGCCCACCGTACCCATGCGCTGGAGGTTAAGAGCCAGTGAGCCGCATCTGTTTACCTTCTCTGTCTTGGTGGGAGGCCATATGCTGTGTGGCATCCTGGAGCCAGCACTGGCGGCAGCCACCTGGGATTTGTGGTGTGATCCTGGGGGAGCTCTTTGCTTGGAGCCTCAGTTTCTCCACTTTCTCCCAGTTTCTCACCTGTAACCCGAGGCTGCCAGTCCCTGCTTCACGGGGTCGCCGTGAGGACCAGCGGCCTCCAGATGCACGTGCACTGCCCAGCACCCGGAGCCACAGGTTTGGACCCTGTGCTGATGGGCCATGTGGTGCTATCCTGAGCTCTGATCCCCCCTCCCCAGTGCTTAGTGCCTTCCCTCTAGTTCCTTACGTCTAGCCCAGATCTCACGAACTCCTGCAGGAGCGGCTGTCTGATGCGCGAGGCCAGCTGCCTCGGTTCGAATCCTGACACCGAGTCTGTGGCATGGGCAAGCGATATAGCCTATCTGAACCTCAGTTTGTACGTCTGTAACATGGGAATAACAATCACACCTACCACCTAAGGCTGCTGCTTGAAGAGTAGCCAGGAAGCGCTTCAAACAAAACCTGGAATGGGAACACCGAATCTCCCTTGTCTGTCCTGGTAGCAACCGTACTGTCCAGACCCCCAGTCTGGGCCTGACACCCACCACCACCTGCCATGCCGGAGCTGTGGCCAGGCCAGGGTGCTCCTCCCACAGAGCCTCATGAGGAACTAACGTGCCAGTGGGGACCCAGGCTGCTGGCAGCAGCGCCCTTGGACACACGGGGCAGGAGGGTGCGAGGCTGGACTTCTGCGGGGCAGTTTCTCCACAGGGTCTGGCCGCACCCTCTCCCCTTGGCATTCCCAGAGCCCATGCCACGCAGGCTGCCCTAGGAGCATCCCAGGCTGGGAGGGCTTCGCGGCAGCTGTTGTAGAAGCAGGTAGATAGATTCCACTATCTGGGCTCAGCGCAGCCACAGAGGCCGCCGGCCGGCCTACCTCCCCGACCCCAGGGCTTTCTCCCCTGGCTCTTTCTCTGCTTGGAACACAGTTCTCCACCTTCCTTCAGTTCTCAGCTCAAGTGCCAGTTCTCTAGGCCTTTCTGAGCCACTTCCCTCCCTCTAGACCACAAGACTTCTGGGAACAGGGGCCTGACCCATGACAAGTCAGTTTGATGAATGAATGAATGAATGAATGAATGAATAAAGAGACTAGGTTGGTCAAGGTTAGGGGATAGTAAGCAGTGCTCATTGAAGAGCTGGGATTTGTGGGGGTGGAGGGGGAAGGAAGGTCCAGGAATGGAAAGCTCCATGTGGCTGGATGGTGAGAGGCTCCCTGGAGGAGGGGGAAGGTGCCGGTGGGAGGGAGAGGTGGAGAAGATGCAGTGGAGGGCGAGGCTGGGAACCATGCTCACAAGGGAAGAGTGACTTCCGGGCTGCACAGACCCAGGCTGAGAGGCGGTGGGGACAGCATCACTAACTGCCTGCGTCACAGGAGTAGAGAGGATCAGCCTTGTCTCCCAGATCCTCCGCACTAGACCCTGTCCCTGCTCTTGGCCTCAGCACATGGGACAGGACCCTGCAGCCTTAGAGGTGCTCTGCAACTCACTGCCAGAATGGATGGGTGTGTGGGTGGATGGACGGGTGAGTAGATAAGCTGATGAATGGATTGTTGAGTAGATATTTGGATGGATGGATGGGTAATTGAATGAATTGGTACATGGGTTGATGAATAATGGGTAAATAGACCTAATGCAGGGAATATGGCAGAAATGAGAATAGATTTTGATTCCAACAGCCTCTGCTTTCAGAGAAGTCAGAATGAATCAGAAAAGGTCAAGTATTTTGTGTCATTTGTATGAGAAAATTAGGATTGACCTATGTGTTATGGTGACCTTGTGATCTGAGGAAATAAGCCAGAAACCCCAGGGGCTGGAAGTGAGATGAGCCTTAAGAAGAAGCAGAGCACAGCCGGCCACTGGCTGAAGGCTTGCCGCCCACCCCAGACCCTGGGCTCCCCAGGCCATGCTGCCATGGGCAGGAGAGCAGCCGGCTGTGGCTGATGTCTGCCGGGACCCCCACTCCCAGCCTGGGGGTTGTTGCCGGATCTTAGGAAGCCTTAAGAAGTGACGGATTCTTGGGACAGAGACTCGGGAGGAAATTTGTGTATGTGCACACATATGCACTCACGCATGTGCACATGCATGAGCCAGCAGACACCCTCTGACTCCTGTGCACTTTCTCGGGAGGGATTCCCAAGAAAGGGAATCTCACTTTCCTGTCTGCTCACACGTGGGGATGGATATAGGGAAACACTGGCACACCCACGCCCCCAGATACACGTTCACAAATGAACACACTCTGAGGCAAACACACTCCCACAGGCACAGAGAACAGACCCACTGGAAGGTTTGACCCACCCCAGACCCGTCACACAGACAAGCTGGTGCACATGGACAGGACACTTGGGGCCCATGGTGACCATACACGGCATGAGGATGGCTCAGGAGGCCCCCTGGGCAGGTCCCAAGAAGAGGCTGTGTGCCTGGCCTCTGAGGCTGAGAAAAGGCTCAGAATGAAGATAAATGAGTCCCTTCCAGGAGCCTTGGAGTCAGCCAAGCAGATCATTCATCTCCATTGCCTCAGATGTGTCTGTGAAGGTTCTAGAGCTTTCCTGGATGCAGGGGAGGGATGGTGAGAGATTAGTTACTCCTAATGGCCGCATCTGCTCGAAGGGTAGAAGGGCCTCAGGGAATCCCTCAGTCAACAACTGGGGACCCACAGCAGAGAGGGCAAGGGACTAGGGGAGAGCCCTGGCCCCGGCTCCTGTGGCGTTCCAAGTGGGGCAGGGGTTTGGAAACTTTCTGAGGAGCTGCCTCTCAGAAAAAGTGGACTTTGTGGCCTGTTCACTGCCTCTGAGGCTGCTTTTCCTCCCTTGGGTCTGGAGGTGGGGAGGCAGGCTCTGGAGCCCTCAGGTGACAAGGAATTGGGCAGAGTGTCTGCCTGTCCTGGTGAGGGAGAAACAGAGGCCCCAGGCCCCCGGGCAGGGGCTGGGGTGGCCGGGAGGATGGATGTGTGCGCAGGACATGGCTTCACTGGGTTCCAGGGAGCAGAGACTGCCTCTTAATTCATTCCCCACCTCATGGTCCCTCCTTCTTGCCTGCTTCCCCTCCAGATCAATTTTGTATTTCTCTTCAACATCGTCAGGATCCTAATGACAAAATTGCGAGCGTCCACCACGTCCGAGACAATCCAGTACAGGTGAATGGCAGGCACCTCAGCCCCTGGAGGTGGGGGGCCCCCTCGGTCCTCAGAGCCCTCTCCCGGGGAGCCTGCTCAGGGTCCCAGAAGAAACGTCACCCGAGTGAGGCCCCCTGCCTGCTGTGTGGTCTCAGACCAGTCTTGTCACCCTCTCATCCCCCTTAGGAAGGCAGTAAAGGCCACCCTGGTTCTGCTGCCCCTTCTGGGCATCACCTACATGCTCTTCTTCGTCAACCCTGGGGAGGACGACCTGTCGCAGATCGTGTTCATCTATTTCAACTCCTTCCTGCAGTCATTCCAGGTGGGGCACATGACCTGCTGGGGACTCCTTCCTGACCTAGAATGCTGGGGCACCGAGGCCCTCCCAGAGACTTCATGCAGGGCTGGCGGACATGTTTTCACCCTGAAATACAAATGGCCATTGGCACCCCCGCCCCAGGGTGGGCTCACCTCCTGACTGGGTCATGGTCACCCTAGCCTGCACCTCCCGAAGGCCCAGCACCTTGTTCTGAGGACTCAGGGCAGCCTGTCACTTGCAGTGGGCCCCAGTACACCTGCACCGTGAGGGCGGGGCTCCCCCCAGCTATGAGCCTCCGGGGATCCTGGGGGCGGAGTGTCCTGGGCCATCCCTGCAGAGTGCTCGCCAGGCAGGTCTCTGACTCCTCCCTCCTTCCTTTCCAGGGGTTCTTTGTGTCTGTCTTCTACTGCTTCTTCAATGGAGAGGTAGGAGACCAGGCTCCGGGGCAGCCCTCAGTCCCCACTCCAGTGGAGTCGCCCAGGTGTTTGGAAGTGCCTGGCTCCCTGGCCCCGCCGAGCTCTGCCTTGGACAGGGGAGGGGAAGGCCGAGGAAGCCACCCAGCTCTGGCACACAGCAATCCTGCCTGAGGGTCTCAAACCAGTTTAGAAGGTCGACTGAGCCGGCCAGAAACAATATGCCAGCACTTTGCAGATGCACGTGGAGAGCTGGAGGAGCAATAATCAGAGGCGCCCAGGCTGCAGGGTCCCGTACGAGAGGGAGGCCCGAACACAGGTGGTGACGGGAAAGTGTGGCAGGAGAGAGTCATGTGTGAGCCGTGCGCCCAGGCCTTTATGGACCCAGGGAGTGGGAAGGGCACCAGCACGTTCTCCCAGAGAAGATCACACACCTTCAGGCCAACTCCAGGGAGCGAGGCAGGGGGGTCAGCCTGGTTAGCTCACAAAGCCCAGCTCTTAGTGTGGCCAGCTTGGGAGAAAGGCTCACATAGGCCTATGGTGCTTGGGGATGCACGGCGGGTTATGGGGCAGAGAGCAGACCCAGTCCCCAGGTCCTGAGAGCTTCCAAACGGGAGGAGAGCCAGTGCCATCCTGAGGCTCGTCACCTGCCTGTGCAGAAGGTGACAGTGGGCTGTCTCTGTCGAGGAAAGCAAACTGCAGATGGGGACATCCAGCAGCAGCGACTGGCCGGGGCTGGAGGGCAGGGACAGAGCTGCTAAAGCAAACAGACAATGAATGTCTAGGGGGCATTTATTCTGTCCAGCCATGTGTTAAGCTAGCATATGGGGAGGATGACCCATACCGCAGAAAAAATTCCTGCCATACAAATGAGAAGAATGCAGCACTGGCAACGATCAGGTTTTGAGACGAATAGAACCATTAGCTTTCCATCTCAGCGGCACACACCGTGGCCAGTGAGGCAGAGTCTGTCAGCAGGTGGAGGAGGTTGGAGGAAGGACTTTGGGGTGTGTGCGTGGGGTGCCCAGTATGCAAGGGGAGCTCGCAGATTAGCAGATGCCCTTGGAGAGCGAGAGGCAGATCCGTGGAGCTGCTGCCTTGGTCCCGCCATAGCGATGAGGTGGCAGAGGGAGGGGGCAGGGAAGGCGGTGGGTCCCAAGGAAGTGGGAGCTTCTCCAGGAGAGGGATGAGGACAGGGGGACCTGGTCACTGGAGAGGTGTGAGATTCCAAGGTCAACGGCTTCAGGGAAAGGACCGACCGGTTTTGGAACCAGCCAGTCCTTGGGTGTGAGGGTGGCGGTCAGGAGGGCACCCCGCCTCCCTTTAAGGGCTCTGCAAGGGGCAGGGACTCCCTGGTCCCAGGACTGGAGCCCGCAGGCTGAGCCTCTGCCCCCCTCCCCCGCCCCTGTAGGTGCGCTCGGCCGTGAGGAAGAGGTGGCGCCGCTGGCAGGACCACCACTCGCTCCGAGTGCCTGTGGCCCGGGCCACGTCCATCCCCACGTCGCCCACACGGATCAGCTTCCACAGCATCAAGCAGACGGCCGCCCTGTGACTCCCCCGCCACCCCGCTCGCCCATCACTCCACCTTCAGGACAGCTTCCCCATCCTTGTGTGGCGCCTGTCCCTGGGTTCACCTTGCTGCACGGGCCCTGGTGGGGGCAGAAGGGAGAGAAGAGGCCAGCTGGCCAGCCCAGCCAGCCCGGGAGAGGCTGTCAGGAGCCGGGGCCAGCCGGGCCGGAAGTGTCAGGGCAGAGGGAACAGAGGGAAGTCGCAGAGACGACCCCCCCCCCACCCAGAGGAGCAGGCATTTGCCCACACCAGCCTCTCTCACTGCATCCTCACCATAGCCCCATTCACAGAAGAGGAAACTGAGGCCCAGAGCCGGGAGGGGCCTGCCCAAGTCAGGGCAGCTAGTTCTCAGCAGAGCTGGGGGAAGGGGGGCTGCCCTACTCAGTGCAGTTGGCCCTGCCTTCTGCCTCCATGCTCAGTGCCGCCCTCTGCAGTTGAGGGGGGTGGTCACAGCAGCAGGAAGTAAAGGATTAATCTGGCTTCATCCCAGGGACTCTCACCTACACCCCCACCCCAGACCAGGTTGTCTCTCTGCCCCTTCCCAGCCATCCTCCTGTCCCTGGGGCCTTGCGAAGGCTGCTGCTTCCTGTCTTGGGGGAGCTCTTCTCCACAGGCTCAGGGCCTTGGGGAGGGACGTGTGTGGAGGAAGACACAACCAAGGCAGCCATACGCTCCCAGGCCAACCAGATGCCTAGGCTGGAGAAATGAGGAGGAGGCGGCTGCCCCCACCCCGCCCTGGGGCAAGGAGTAGGATTGGAACATCAGAAACCAAAGTGGGTGTTTGGTGATTGGCACTAACCTCTCAGCCCCCTCCTCAGACTGGGCTTCATTTCAGCCTCGCCTTCAGAAGAAACATCTCTGCTCTCGGTGCAATAAACCATGCCTCTGTGGAAACGGCCTTCCCTCAGGTCAAGTCAGCCAGGCACGGGAAGGGGTGCTGTGGCCGGGGACGGAGGGCTGGATCCATTCTCATTTGTGAGCCCATAGCCCAGCGCCTAGGGCTGGCTCTCCGTCTCTAACCTCTGTGTCTGCAGGTCTGTCCCTTATCGTTCCCCCGGGACAGTGTCTGCCGCTCCCCGCCAACCGAGGGCAGGTTAATTCAGCCCAGAGGACAGGTACAGCTCACGTGTCATGCCACAGCCCGCCCCAAAGGCCAGTGTCCTGAAATCAGAGGCAATTGTAGACAAGGCCCCATAGTCTCCCTGAACAAAACCATGGGGGGATTTCCAGGAGAGGGTGGGAGTGCAAGGGACAGACTGAGAGGCCATCAGGCCAGCATTCAAAAGGGCTTTTCCTCTAGGAATACCCCCAAAACATCGTTTTTTGTAATCATGTATCCCATCTTGCATTTTTTAAAGCTGACATCTAATATTTGTTTTACATAAATTTTTAAATGTGCGAGAGAGTGATAACTGGCATTTGGCAAATATTTACATTTTATCTAAAAATTTTTTTTCATGTTTATTTATTTTCGAGAGAGAGAGAAAGAGAAAGAGAGAGCAGGGGAGGGTCAGAGAGAGAGACGGGGATGCAGAATCTGAAGCAGTCTCCAGGCTCTCAGCTGTCAGCACAGAGCCCGATGCAGAGCTTGAACTCATGGACTGCACAATCATGACCTGAGCTGAAGTTGGACGCTTAACCGACTGAGCTACCCAGGCGCCCCAACTATTTACATTTTAAAATAAAACTGCCACAACACTTTAAAACATGTCATTCAGAATCCCAGCACAACAATGATCGAATAGCCACCCTCATCTGTTTAAAGACACACGCTAACCAACTAGCTCTCCCTCAATAGTAAAAAATTTTACATTGTTCCTTTTCTCTTTGAACTTGTCTTCATTCCATTTCCCCTATAGAATTTTACAGTGATGCAGTATTTTTATGGTGGAAAGTCCTTCATTGCTCGCCTTATCGTACTTCTCTGCCACAAAACATATTTAGAAATGGAAATGGAAATCTTTTCTGTAACCAAAGCTTGTAGGAGTTTTTTTGAAAACTCCTTCCAGATTGAGTTGTTACAACTATTTTTCACATAAAATATAGTATACAGTTGATTAACAAAACACAGACACCAAAAGTTTACCAAAAGTAAAATGTTAAATGTCAAAAGAAAAATGTATTGAAAACACATTTTAATGGACTGCATGGGACTTTCATTGTTCATGAATCCGCGGGTGAATATTTATTGCTGGAATGATTCAGGACTCAGCATCTTTTCTTCTCTTTTTTTTTTCTTTTTCGTTTTTATAGCTCCTTTTGTACATAAAAAGGTAGATGTCACATAAATAAGTAGATGTCACTTTGTTCTCTGAACTCCCAAGACGTACGCCAAAAAAAAGCGTAGTGATCCATCATCAAAAATTACATGTCAGCCACTTGATTAAGTCCTCTTATTATTAAAAATTTTTTTTTGTTTATTTATTTTTGAGACAAAGAGAGACAGAGCATGAGCGGGGGAGGGGCAGAAAGAGGGAGACACAGACTAAAGCAGGCTCCAGGCTCTGAGCTGTCAGCACAGAGCTCAACGTGGGGCTCAAACCCACAAACCTCGAGATCATGACCTGAGCCAAAGTCGGACACTTAACCGATTGAGCCACCCAGGCACCCAGATTAAGTCTTCTTTAAATCTGGCTGAAGGGGCCGCCTAGGTGGTTCATTTGGTTAAGCACCCTACTTCGGCTCAGATTATGATCTCAAAGCTTGTGGGTTCGAGCCCCTCGTCGGGCTCTGTGCTGACAGCTAGTTCAGAGCTTGGAGCCTGCTTCTGATTCTGTGTCTCCCTCTCTCTCTGACCCTCCCCTGCTCACACTGCCTCTCTCTCAGATATAACTAAAACATTTAAAAAAAATCTGGCTGAAAAAAACGAATTGAAAGATATCAGCTTTGTCAATGGCTTGACTACCCAGGGAACCTGGGAGCCACCTGGCACTTGGGCTGAGCCAGGAGAGGTTCATCGCATGATGTGCAGCAAAGTGGGGCCACCAAGTGCCTGTTGGAGAATGAGCCTGTAGAGGACAGTGATGCCAGCGGGCATGGCAGGTGTGGAGCCTCTGTGGGGTGGGGCGTGGGAGGTGACACGACATTTCCCTGCTGACAGGGTCTGTGGGGGAGGTGCTGCCTGCCGGCTGAAGCCTCAGGACTGGCTTCCTGTGGAGGAGGCCACCAAGCAGCAGAAAACGGACAAAGTGGAACTAAGAGGCTCACAGAAACTGACCGCCAACATATGGAGACACGCTCAGAGGCTCACAGACGTGGAGGCAAACACTCCTGGGGCCACACGGGGAGGCCCAGGTGGACACAGAGAGACCCTCGGAGTCCTGCACAGCTGCACCCAGATGCTGGATGCACATGTGCCCATCAGTCGGCCATTCCCCATTTCCTGAGCCCCCGTCTGTGCCAGGTATGGAAGTAGCACCACAGATCGCACAAGATTCCTGCTTCAAGAAACTCAGAACCTAGTTGGGAAGAAACAGCCCCCAGACTGTACGAAGTAAAAAACAGCAGAAGGGATCCGTGCTGTGGCCCTGCCTGGCTGGATGTGTAGTGTCTGCTCTACGTGTTGGGGTGAGGGGAGGAGAGGGGAACCGAAATAAGGCAGGTTCTGTGGCCGGCATTTTCCTCGGCTCCCTGCTTTTTCCCCACCTCTGAGCCCACGCCCACGGTGGCCCCAAGCCGGACAAGGTTTGGGGCCGTAAGAACCTCAGACGCCCTCCCCTATTCCTTTCCCCTCTCCCACAGCCCGGGGCATCTGGGCAGTGAGGCAGCAGGGTGGGAGGGGGACTGTCACATAACAGATGCCCCTTCACCTGTGTGAGGCTGACACAGGGTGTGCCTGGAGGCCGAAAGGCCCAAGGGGAGTCCTTTTCTACAGTGACGCTGCAGCCAGGGTCAGGAGGAAATCTGTGGAAAAGAGCAGAGTCTCCAGCCAGGGAGGCTGCCCAGGGGCCCACAGCTTTGAGAACGCGCCTGGGTGGTTCATCGGAACCGACTGGGCTGCTCTTTGAGAGCAGACTTTGGGAACCCTCATTTCCGGCCTGGGCAGGATGTGGGGACCCGCACACTAACAAGCCCCTCCCAGGTGCTTCTGTTGCTGTCTGGTGTGGGAGCCGTCGAACAAGGAAACAACTTGTCTCTTGTTTCCAACACACACACACACACACACACACACACACACACACACACACACGCACACACTCTCACGTACCACTTTGGAAAGGTGAGTGAACTGACCGCCTTTCTGGAAGCCTCTAAGGGAAGGCAGCCATAGCTGGAGGGAAGGAAGGAGGCAGGTACAAAACATGCAAAGTTACCCATCAATATGCTTTGTATGACTTCCAGGCTTTGCCCCGGAGATGCCACTAATCCCCCTGAGGGAGCCGCCCCCAGTAGAGAAGTTGGTTAGCAGGAAGAATGGGTGGAGAGCGCACTGAGGCCACTGCCCTGAGTTGACTGGGCTTCCCCCAGAACCACCACAGCGGACCTCATCTAGTGAATCCCACCCATCCTACAGGACCCAGCCCGAAGAGCCTCTCTTCCAGGAAGCCTTCTTGCCAGTGTCAGACACATCCCCGCTGGGAGCCCCCAGGGCAAACCTCCCCAGGCTCCACCGCCAGGCTGGGAACTGCTCGAGGCATGCGCTTTTACTTCCCCCCCCCCCCCCCCACTGTAGCAAGAGCTCTGCACACAGTAGGAGCTCTAAGAATATCCACTGAATAAACTGGCCTTTTGTATTTGCTCCACCCAGAGCTAGTAACTCACTGGCTAGTGTTCAGTGCCGGCAGGACAGACCAAAGACACAAAGAATCCCAGAGATCTACTGGCTTTGCAAGGGGGAGAAAATCTATTCTGCAGCTCCATACCCCCCCTCACCACCAGAACCGGGGGCCAGGCCCGGCCTGCGGGGATCTGCCTCTCCGCATGCAGGCAGGAAATTGGAAGAGCCCCTCCACACCCTTCCAAGACTCTCGTGCAGGTGTCCATCCGTTAGTCTCACGCCGAGGGGCCCCCAGGCCTTGATGGGCCCTGACTTCCTACAGTTGGGCCGGCCAGCCCCGTGCCCCACTCAGCTAGGGCTGTGCCTGCCGTCCTGTCCTGGAGGAATCGAAGCGCCTCTCCTAAGCACACGTCCTGGCTTAGACGATTAACTGCATGATCGCCCTGCTGAAACCACACAGTTGTCTGAGGACGCAGCAGGGGCCACAAATGCTGCCTGGAGAAATGAAGGATGAAAGCCAGCGACACAGAAACTCCAGAAGGTTAGCTACTGCACTTAGGAAAAACAACCCCAAGCAAAGGGCCCTTCCGAGGCCAAGTCCCGCATCCGGTCTTGATGGGCATGTGAGTGAGCAGGAAGGGGCGGGGGAGCTGATGCCAGCCCTGGAAGAAAACTGACCCTGCTTCTGCTGTGAAAACAAGAAAGAAATTAATTGTGCTTTGTAATCGGATCTGCGGGGCACCGAGGAAGGCCTCCTCTGGCTCACTGAGGCCCAACCACGTGCAGCAGAGTCCAGCATCGTAACTCCCCACGAAGGCCCCTCCGCCCAAGAAGACAGGGAAATCCAAAGACCTGTCTTTCCTTCCTGCTTCTGCCCAGTTCCGGTCTCCGTGTCTCCTGGACAAGGCTGGCGGTGGACCCATGAGCAGATGCCTCCTGTCCTTATTCTTCCCGCTTGGCCCCAATATCTTGTCCTTTCAGGGCTTTCCAAATCATGCACTATGGAGTCTGGGCCTCTCGTTCTTGGTTCATGAACTCCCTCGGCCCTGTGGCTCCAAATCCATCTCAGTCCTCAGTTTGAAACAGATTCTTGGCTCTCCCCACCCCCGCCTCCTCAACACTGCACACCTAAATGTTAAGGTCTTGTGATGTGGGATTGTGGAATGTAAGCGTCCAG